AAAATCCTCCGCCAGGGACAGGATCCGGTAGCCTTCCTTAATGGCTCACTTTTGGAAGGAAACTGCGATGATACTGTGAGTAAAATCCACCATGTGGCAACATTTCATAATTCATGAGAATAAAGGGACAATTCTCTTATTTGCCTAGCGTTTCTCGGTAACAAAACCACCGCTTACTACCTCTTCCTCCTCCTGCTCCTCATTCCCTCCTCTGTACTACTACTACTAATACTACTTGTACTAGTTAAACTAATTCCGATCCACGGTAGACGTCGATTAAATCCAGATAGCCTCTGAAGAAATTCGAATCACACATTGCATTTCTTTGTCATTGATAACGCTGGCTGATGACGATTATATTTTTTGCTACGACTCGAAAGACTTAAGAGAAACTAACCTCAATACATACAAATTACAAGTTATTATTAGCAATTTTCAGCTGTACAGAAGTCCACCAAAATCACAGCTGATCTTGATTTACTTAATTTTGGCGTGTCCACCACATCCAACTCTCGCCAGTTGTTGGCTCGGTAAGGATAGTTTATAAGTACCGCCATAGCATCACGTAACAGCAGAAGTCTATAATACGCAAAGGATGGTAATGGAAAAGTTATTTATTTTGCATGAAGCGAAAAAAATAAAAATAACCATGTAGTCTACTAGGAGGCAGTCGTTACGCCTATTGATAAACAAGGTAAATGTTAATATGTATACAGAAGATTCAAAAGAAATCTAGCATTAATAAACTGACTTTTCATTAGTTTCAACGTCTGGATTCTGCTTAAATATGTGGTTCGATGGATATGTTATCCCTACATGCAAAAGGAGAAGCCTTATTTTTTAACACTGGTGTCGTAAAACAGAACTCTGGGCTTTTGGCATACTCTGGTGAAACCTATTAACTATTCTTATCGTTGGCTCAACTGATTTAACAATACTCACTTCAAAAACACTCATCGTGTCAGAAACCAGGAAAAACGCCGACCAACATACCCTATAAAACTAGAACACCATAATTATTTAAGAAAAGTTGAGATTTCGAAAGCGTAGAAATTATGGTTATGTGAAGAAACATCACTTTTAGAGTTTCAAAATGCAAGGTCATGTGAAAAAAAAATGCAAAGATTAACAGAATATACATTATAAAGTGTAAAAAATCCCAGTAGATTATCTTTGGCTTAAATCACCAAGAATTAGTGTAATATGCGATACTGCAAACAACCACCTACTTTGCGTTGGCCAAAGTTTTTGGCCCACGAAATACATTTTGACATATCTTTCAAATGGCAAAAGGGGTACTACTTCCGTTTCAGAAATAAGCTGAAAATAAGTTGCAAAAAACATTCCATTATATACGAATAAATGCAAGGTCAACTAGCCAGCGGCCTAGACACTACTGGTACGGTCCAACAAACTACTATACTCTGAGAGTATTTTTGCGTCTTAGGATGCAAGGTTCGTCATAATTATATATCTGAATGTTCACGGCTAATAGTGTTCATGCTTTCTCACCCAATTTATACAGAAGGATAAATCGGTTTTCCGGTGCAGGAGGGCTATTTCCGTAGATTTACCCAACCCGGGGGCGAAAAAGGCTTTTACGCCACGTGTCAACCGAAACAATACAATATTGAGCGTCTAGGGCACTCCCCCCACTGGATTTCTGTCATCAAGTTTCACCAAGTTCGCTACCTAGTATATAAAGGACCATCCCACCGTCTGCATAGTACTCAGCTATCAGAACGCCGTCTTTTTAAATACTCAGCTTTTCCTTCAGCCGTCAAAACGGCCTAGCAGGCAACTTTTGTCGTATTGCCCAACTTCTGTTTGTGCTTCGGGATGAGGGGGAGGGGAGGGAACCTGGTGGTTTGTTGCTAAGCTGCGTAGAAATGAACAAAAAGGTGAAGAGGAGGAACAGCACAGGGGGGTGACGAACTTTCCGGGTCAAGGGACCAGGCAACACGTCGTCTAATGCCCCTAGGCGATGTCATCGTCCCTCATGCCGTAGGGCAGTCCTTTGAAGAAGGTTACGAATTCCCCTTACTGAATACTCCCTGTGATTCACTGCATGAAAAGGTATGCTCCTACGAAACTTTTCTCCGTTAAAGGTTGGCAACTGTCCTACAGAACAACGAATTCTGTTAGGCGACGTGTCTGTAGCCGTTTGTCAGCGAGAGACCAAATATGATTTTAAAATGTCACAGTAGTATGTTAGTGGTAGCAATAA